GGGTTTGGAGGCGGCGGGTTTGGGGGAGGGTTAGGGGGTGGAGGGCTCGGCGGTGGGGGATTTGGTGGCGGTGGTTTGGGTGGTGGCGGATTTGGTGGGGGAGGCGGTGCTACAAAAGCAGAGAACGGTGTCAGTTTGCCAGGACCGTGAGGAAGGTAAGGCGTCAGCACTAAGTATACTAAGAGTGCACGCTTTCTGCAGCTTGAAGTACTGGGTATGGTTCTTTGCAACATTTTGACGTTAATAGTCGCTCAGCAGAATCCCTCTGCACGGGATTGTTAAAAACGGCCAGAGAAATGGCGACTTGTAAACTTTTGACAGCGAATCTCCCGACTTTCGTGAGAACCCGGGGCCCATTTAGTAGAAAGCTGAAACTCAAGTTCTACGCCTTTCATGCCTGCACCCACTATAACCCCAAGCTAACTCCAGCTTTGTCCCGGATAACCCATTTAGGAGTCGCTGATCTGCAGAACAAAGTCAGTACCTTGTTGCTTACGATAGCTGGTTCTCTGTTCGGCTAATGCAAGCCTCAATCTGGGACATAATCAGCAGCATGCCAAAGTGTTCAAATGTGCCCGGTCCAACTTACATGGAGGCGACACGGCAATGTCGTCTAGATGGAGAGACGAGGGGTTGTCCGTCAACGCAAACTTCACGGTTGTGCTCGTGCTGCTGGCCGTAAACACGGCCGAATAGCTGACGAAGTCCTGTTGGGGCGTACTTGACATGGTGAAGATTGTGGTTGACCCGGCCGTCACCGTCAGTGAGTTCGGCGTGGCCTTCCCGCTGTTCGATCCGACACCGAAGAGGAACGTCACGGTGTACGTCACACCTGGGAGCGGAGTGGAACGGAACAGGAATATGAGTCAGAGAAAGAATCATGCGTGACGGAGTAAGACGTCTTCCATCTCGGTGACTTTGGCCATGAGCACATCTGGAGCTGTCGATCCAAATCCGTTCCCTGTTCCGGGGTAGCTTCACCGGTATCGCAATGTCCATGGGCGAAGGAATGACTTTCCAGGGCGTCCGAATGACCATCTTGAGACCTTACGAGTCGACCGTAGTGACCCTAGAAAGACACCCACAAAGTAACCAAATTTGGCTAGTTGCAGAAGCGTTAGCTTACGGCCGTCGTACAGTGCGAGTCGCACACTCTTGACCTTTCAAGCATTGAAAGCTGCGAAAACTCATCGCAGGCCTTTGGGGCTGCGTATGAGCATCCAACAACTTCCTTTTTCTCTCCTTCGGACGGCTACTTGACCCGGAGCTCAAGGATGCCAGAAGGACTGATTCCACAGTGCAGTGGCCCAGTCCTGTTGTGCAAAGGTAGTCATCTTCAGTCCCAACAGAATCTACAGGACTCACCGGAAGTGGTGGCGACGGCCTGCGCGATCGAGCCCGGGCTTCCGAACGCCGCCGCATAGTAGCCCGAGCGTGACGTGGGTGCGTACGTGTCCGGCTGTGCGCCCTGGACTGCGTCCTGGTCAGCGGCCAAGTCGGTGAGGTTATGGTAAACGAAGAAGAAATTGGTTGTGCCCGCCTTGGTCCAGCCAGTGAAGGAGTTTGTCTCAAACCCTCCGTTCGTGATAAGATTTGCTCCTGCAATTGTGATACAGCTTTTTGAAGATGGTTGTGAGCAACAGAATCAGAAAGAAACTCCGATAACTCTCGATTGTTCCGACGGCCGATTGCAAAGATAGGTGAGCCCCCGAAGGACGGGTGGGGTTACGTTGGGGGTTAGGGTGGCTGCGGGTGCGCAGCGCATAATGTTTGGGGTTAGGAATTTTAGTTGAGGTGCCCGGGGCTTATGTATCTCAATACAATCTCCTGTTAGTACAATTCAGAGTTGCCAGTATCAGAAAGAAGGTTTTGCCCAACCACGTAACACACAAACTGTAGATCTGGGGGGCATTCTGGTTGGAGAGGAAATGAAGTCAAGCACGTGGAGTAGACAGCAGATGCAATGCTGGAGACCGGAGCAGTGTCTGGTCGATGTAATACTTCAGTGTTTACCAAGATGAAGTAGGTTGAGAGGGCCTGGCAAGCAGACTTGAGCCACCTGCAATATTCATCTTCGCAAGGAGACGAACATCCTGGAAGATAGATTAGAAGCAACAAAGAGAAACGCTCCATCGATAATCTGAAGGAAGGATGTGGCTTTTTCTGCCACCATCAAAGAATGTCTCATTCTACTGCGAAAACTAGTAATGGCAGACCACTTCTAAGCTAGAAGTGACATTCTGGCCAAAAACGGAAAGTTGTGGCGCTCTGTAAATGGATGCAGACTTTGCAACGCGACCAACGTAGGTGTTTGAGAGGGCACGCAATGCAAATCCAAGACAAGCGCACCGTAATGAAGTTGTGAAATGCACATACTCTTCTTTCCAAGCATGTGCATCGAAATCCTGTGAGTAAGGAAGCTAAGTCCTCAGCGTCTGAATTTATCACCACTTTCCTCATCAGGCATCCAATTCCAGATTCTATTCCTAAAGAATACTTAGGGATGAACTGACCATCAGAATCTTCACCATTGGGATTCTGTCTAAGTCAAATCTCCATAGTTGATTGGCAATAACTCACCTGCCGCCACCGCCACACAGCGGATCAGCGCCACAAAGCAGAGAGCATGTTGGGCCCTAATCTTATGACACCGTATGGACGATGCCATAGCTTACGCATAGTCACCGCATGCTTACGCAGCGCGTGCCCTTGCTTCGTGCAGGCCTAGCCCTGGTCCTCGATACTTTTAATGCATCTAATGCTTCGTGGCTAATCTAGCTTGCAGAGACTTCTCTTTGCGGTTGGCTTTTGCGTGTTCTAGATAAGTAGGTGCAAAATGTTTTTGAGCTCGTTTGAACTGCTGGCCCCGGTAAAATGTTTGGGATCAGAGTGCGCAAGCTACATAGCTCTCAGATGCGAGGCCTTTGCCTCGTCAGCGTCTCGATGCAGTTCAAACCCTGGGGACCAGCTAGAGGCACTGCGCCCCTTGCTTCGCATCTTTCTCCAAGACAAGCCAGCACCACCATCTCTTGCAGTGACTACAACAGCAGGTGCGCGCAGCAAGGCTTGCGAAGCATTAAAGCCCCGTTCTTCCAGGAGTCCCATCCTTGTCTAACCTACAGTCAATAGCTTGCGAAGTCACTCTCAAGACAATAATATCCTGTTTGTCCGTTGAAAACGAAATGTGCTGGTTAACAGATGCTGTTTACCATCGTGCTACAATCTGTTGCAGGTTTGTTGATCTGGTCCCCTGAGAGCCGGGGCGGGCCACTGCAGAGAGCTGCTGCTGTCCATGTTGCCAGCCAGCTTGCCGCTTGCAAGCTGACCGTCTTTCCCCATGTCTTTGCAAGTGAACCAGACTCAAGTCAGAGTCGACAACCAACTTCATCCGCCAAACTTGCTGGGACTCCTACCTGTGTAAGAGTATGCCTATGTTGCAACTTGCAAGCAGGAGCTCCAAGTCCTGGCTCCAGTGCTAGGACAGCCTAGGAGCCCTGTATTTCTGCTACCTATCGATCTCCGCAGGCCTGACGATGTCTCAGTTTTCTGCACATGCTGATGTCCTGAGCTGAGCTGCGCAAGCTCTCAGTGTGCGCAAATGCGGCCAGTGATGCAAAACTATCAAAGCAGACTCCTTTTGTTAGTGTCTCCGCCACTCTGAGTGGTGTGAATCACTCTCAAGCACCTGGAAGCACCTGAATTATTGCAATTTTTCAGCGGTTAGCAATGAGACTGACACTGACATTGACACTGACAATGACATTGACATTGACATCGACATTGACATTGACCCGGGGCACTCTCTGTGACATTAGGGTTACGCTACAAACCTGTGACGGTTCACGGCAATCGTCGAGCGCTTTGTTAGGGTTACGTCATATCCAAGTGACATTAGGGTTAGACACTGACAGTGACAGCCGGGCAGAGTTCTTTTGGTTTTAGTGTTGGAAGCCATTTATCCTGACCCGATTCCACCCGTACTAGAAATTGTACCGCAAAGTGTACGGTAAAGCTGACAGTCTGAC